GTAAGCAGAGGTGTGAGACAAGGAAGAGTAATAACGAAGAACAACACAATTTCATTGGAAACCATAAGTCACAAGGAGTGGACGCATCTGCGCTGGCCACTGAGAACGATTTTGAGCCATGTCACCAATTGTTTCCAACCATTGGTTTTTACCGTCCCGAGGACCCCAGCCTGGAAGTCTACACCTTCCTACGTGACCGGCTTAGACTAACTGTTGTAGATTTCATTGGCTGGTGCCATGTTTTGGTTTGACCGCCACTAGCTCTTTTCCAGTCTCACCTTATGTCAGCTAACATTGCCCGTCGAGGAAGGCGATCGATGGTTAGGCATACGTAACACATGTCCTAACCATCACAGTCGATGTAACTTCACAACCTCGTCGATTGATTTCCCCTCCCACCTACCTAGAACTCGACGCCTAACCCGAATATTGCTCACCTTATTATGGCACTTCACACAGAAGATAGAACGCGGGCACATATGATCATCAGCTCTCACATGCTAAGTTTAGCTCTTAGTCTGGTATATGAATGAATTCAAAAATTAAAAGCTTATGCTGTGGGGAATCTATCTGAGAGGTAAACTGCTACCTATGCAATCATAAAACAGCGTCTTAGTAAGGTGATTACTGTGCCTTGTATAACAACAAGAAACAATCGCTACGTCAACCGTTGTTGACACGTACACGGTCAATCTGGTAGGTAATATTAATCTACTATTTTCTCATTGTTCAAAGTGGGTGATAGTCGTTGAATTCCGTCTGTAGACTTGTTGAGTAAGAGAAATTGCGACAAAACCTGATCAACTTACATCATCATATTTATGGGTGAAATGAAGGTAGGACATGCTGTTACTTATGTCATACATTACAAAATATCTAGGTTGATGAGTAACCAAACTGATTTAAAATTTAATCGGTTTCACGCATAAGATAGTCATGTATTTAATCATCCCTTATCCGTAGTTGCTGCATTGATGTAGTCTGGTCATCCGCGTCACAATGACATGGCGTCCCACCGCGAATCCCTAGAGAACTGTTCGTACAGTGACAATCATAAGAGCTGTTAGCATCATAAAGTGTTTGAGGAAAAAGTCTGCCTGATAGCGAATACAGTCATATCAGTGGGTGGTTTGTGTGTAATGCTAGGTAGGACACGAGCATTTTGAGGATACGTAATAAGATCTAATTCCGACAAAAGCGGTCGGCTTTTACAATTCATTTTAGAAAATCACCTTTTCTATGAATCTTCGACCACAAAAGCTGCTCATGCTTAGCGTCCCGAAAAAAAACTACTCTACATGAACCTTCAATTCAATGGGGATATATCTGCGGAAACACTAAAAAATCGACTGTTGTGCTCACTTAAGAAGACCTTCTTCGCAGCTGAACTACGACTAACGTTCTCCACAAAACCCACGACTCATGTGAACGTGAAGGATAAGCTACCATTGCTGGCCTCATCAGTGGGTATTTATCAATTCACCTGCTCGTGTGGAGCAGGGTATGTCGGCCGTAATCAGCGTTCGCTTTCCAAACGTATCACCGAACACTTACCAACATGGTTTCACAAAGGAGAAAAACGATGTTCCCGTAGCTCCATCTTAGAACATCTGATAGGATCCGGACACCAAGCTATACCGCAAACAAACTTCAAAGTCGTCTACAGAGTAAGAAGTAGACTCCGCAAAGGTGTACGAATCAGACTTCTTCAAACTGCAGAAGCAATGACGATTCACTTGCTAAGCCCTGAACTTTGCATACAGAAGTTCGTTCGATCACTACACTTTCAATGGACTTTATATATCTTATTACCTGAAAAGTAAATTCTACCTAATCTTTTCTTTCTGTTTCTTCATTAGTATTATTTTGTCTTCTTAATTGTAATATTTTGCATTTTCAACTCTCTTGTCCTCTACCCCCACCCGATTTAATTTTTACACCTCATTACCATTGTCAGTGACTTGACCAACGCTCAATTTCTAGTCATTTATGTTACGTCATCCAACTTATTCGCTCAATTTCAGTTCTAATTTAAATGGCATTATTCTCTACCCCACTTCTACTTAGTCTCTACCTGTAATTACCTCTGTTGCTATCCTGACCTAAGCTGAAACATTTTAGTCAATTATATTACGTTACCTAACTTACTAACTCAATCCTACTTTAGTTACTGTCTGATTAACCTTGTTTCTATAGTAGACCATTTTTTTATTACCTGATCAATTATCTAAACTTGACAAGCCTCATGTACACACATACACAATTATATATAGATCCGATTGTACAGCTATGTAAATGAATTCGCCGTCGTAAAGAGTCTCTTCGCTGAACGTCTTCTCTTTTTCATATTACCTCTTCTTGACTAACAGAATAAGAGGTTTTAAATAGCTACAGTTTTGCGATGAAGACACCTTGTAGACATAGTTATGTAAATATTTCGCCGCAAATGGTAGCTATACTCACCCGGAAAAACCTGAGCGCAATATGCAGCAGTTGACTTCCGTAAGCTCGCATCGACTAAGCGGCATATTCAGCAGGCGTACTGTACACATAACTGAAAGCTCAACCTTCATTAAGACCACGAATGGTGCATGAAAATAGAGATCCTGAAGCGATTACCATTCGGTAATACTGCCATTAAGATAGCTATCCTCATTTACTTGGGTCTTTAGACTTCTGTACGAGGATTCACGATAAGCCGCTAGCGCCAAGTCATGAACGAATCTGCGTACCAGCATAAATTTTTACCTAAGACTCGTAAATTAACAGTTGCTAAAGCTCACGCACTACTCCCTAAAAATTCCGTAGACCTTAGTTTACCCAAGTAAAGAGCTATTCCAAGCACAAAACAACCTACCACGCTAAATGTATCAGGACACACAATCTGCCCCAGTGAGCTACACATGTTATGACGAGTTTTAACGATAAAACTCTAACCAAGCTAGAAGAACTGCATTTCGCAATATGTCCAGACTGAAGTGGGAACGAGTTGGGGAGACGCACTCTGTCTGTCTGGATTCAACATACAACTTGACACCGAAGTGCAACAGTTCGAGTTGCCACGTTCCAAAATAGCACACAAAGGTAGACAAGAAGATGAGTGAAGAGAATCAATAGAGTTTGACAAGTATTAGAGTGAAACAGAATGGGTAATGGTAGAAAGGAATATGAAGGATTACAGAGACTGAATACATCTGAACTGGCCATTGACAACGATTTTGAGCCTTGTCACCTATTGTCTCCAGTCATCGATTCTTAGAGTCCCGAGGCCCCCTACCCGGGAGTCTGCATCTCCCTACCTGACTCAGTTTAACTGTCAAGGATTTCATGGATTGATGAGGCCATGTTTTTGTTTGGCCACCACTTACTCTTTTCCAACCTGCACCACCTATATCAGGTAGTAATGCCTGTCGGGAGAGGCGATGGTTGGGCACGTGACCTGGCCATCTCAATCTATGTAACTTTATAGCCTCGTCGATTGATTTTCCCTCTTTACCCAACACTCTACGCCTAACGTCAACATTACTTACCTTATTATACCACCTAACGTGAGAAAGAGATCGCAGACATCTATGATCAAAAACAGTCAACCTTTTCATGTCTTCAACTCGTATTGGCCATGTTTCAGAGCCACAGAGAAGGACGGAGCGAACTGATGAGCAGTACACACGTCCATTGTTTGATATCCGGATATCACGCATCTTGCATGGGCGAATCGCATGCCAAACATACGAAGATTGCTGCTCAAGGTGTTCAGAAGACTCTACATTTTGTCAGCATCCTCCCCTAACAGGACTATGTCATCTGCATATTCTAAGTCCATAAGACTATTCCCTGGTAACAGGTCGATTCCTAAGTCATTACGTTCAGTTAAGGATACTTCCATCAGCATATCTACGATGAAGTTAAACAGAAATGGGGAAAGTGGACATCCCTGTCGGACACCACTGGTTGTTACCAATTCAGATGACAATTCCCCATAAGCCCTTACACGACTACGTGAGTTTGAATAGAGTGCCTTGATTAGTGCAATGTACTTTCTTGGCACTCCCTTCACAGTCGAACATTGCCATAGTGCCTTTCGATCCACGGAGTCGAAGGTTACCTTCAAGTCAAGAAATATAGCAATTGTTGGACGCCGAAAAGTGTGTCTATGTTCTGGAGTCTGTCGGAGAGCGAAGATATGATCCATGCACCCTCTACCTGGTCTAAAGCCTGCTTGATTTCCCCTCGTTTGTTCCTCCCGAGTTCTTCTTAGTCTACGCATGATTTCAAATACTATGTTCGTTAGGCTGATCCCCCCTATGATTATCACACGAGGACTTGTTTCCCTTCTTGAATATCGGTATAATAAGTGACTTACTCCAGTCTGATGGAGCCGTCTCTGATTTCCAGACTCTGCCTGGTACCCTAGACAATCTACACACTAAAATGCCACCCCCACATTTAAACACCTCCGGAATAATTCCGTCGAGTCCTGCCGCCTTGCCTCGTTCCAAATTACAAATAGCTTTTGTGACCGCACTTACAGACGGCGGACCAGTGTCTATATCCCATTCGCGTGTGCTGGATGGCGTGGGTGGGGGTTCAGTGTAGCTGTAGGCAAGTTAAATTGTTCCTTTAAGTGTTATTTCCAGCGTTCAAGGCGTCTATCCTGAGAGCTAATTAAGGAGCTGTTCTTCTCAGAAATAGTCTCACTTATGATTTGCCTTCTCCCACCCGTTTCCCTGATATTATCAAGGATTTACCTATTAGTTTGTAGATAGTGTCAGTGAAATATGGAAATTATTTTACACTGACTAATTCCTATTGGTTTGTTTATTGACTAGACATCGACCACTATATCACATAGAAAACAAGCTACTTGTCGAGACTTGAGATCAGAAAAACCCTTATGAAGGACTACATCGTACGTCCTGTCTGATTCTATGAGCAGTCACGTATAAATTCAGTCAGAACCTCCGGAAGCCATTAGTAGAAAAAAAGGAAGAACATCTCTATGATGGGTATTTCAGCACATATACTTATAAATTTTTCACAGGAAATACAAAATAATAGATTTTAATGCATCTATAGCTTGACATATATAACAGCATATTTCAGACATTTGAGAAAAGATAAGTTTCTATATAGATAAAATACAGTGGCACATCAATAAAATTAAAGGATAGTAATGCAAGATACAATGAAATGCAATTGTCATGAATCTGGTTACATGGCAAGTGGCTTAGGTGGAGGTAGTTTCTTTCCAATAAGGGACTTGTGAATATGCGGAATAACGCCACCACCAGCAATAGTAGCTTTTATTAGTGTATCGAGCTCTTCGTCACCACGAATGGCTAACTGCAAATGCCGTGGTGTTATACGTTTGACTTTTAGATCTTTACTAGCATTGCCAGCAAGTTCGAGAACTTCAGCTGTTAAATATTCCAAAATTGCTGCTGAGTAAACAGCGGCAGTAGCACCAACCCGTCCATGACTCGTAGTACGAGCTTTTAAATGACGATGGATACGACCGACAGGAAACTGGAAATGGGGAAAATATGGCATGCGCGTTATTTTCAAAAGTGCAAAAAGATCCATTCTGAACAAGCACTTTAAGGTGAACTGTCTAAGAATGATATGCTAGTCAATTTAATGTACAATCATACTGGAATTTGATGGTTAATAAATACTACTGAAATCACCCAACAAACTTTGTAACTATATCCCGTCGGTTTAACATCCAAACAAGAAAAATGGAATGGAAATTTGCAAACTGACAAGAAACTACCTTGAAACGCCAGTGACTTGGCTGAATTATTATAGAGTTCAACTAGTGACAAACGGTCAAAATAAAAAATGTTTGGTGATGACGCAACTCCCCACCCATTGCGTACCGTTTGAGCTCAGCATATGTGATTGGACTCTGAGTATATATATCTGCCCAGACTCAAACACGACATTGGAATGCTACAAGTCGACACATCACTCAAAGTTGAAGTAAGAGGGGGGGTTCTCCACATTATTTAGTAAGCATAGCAAAATGGCAGAAATCTGATTTATGCAACTTCTGTACGATCTTCGAACTAAGTTTCGGTCGAAGCCATCCTATAATATTCCGGATCTTTTCCATACTAATATGCTGATAAGTAACAAACCAACATAGTAAGGCATGCAAACTACTGAATGCTCCATTAGTACTTATGGAGCTCTAGCTCACTAGTCTAGCCCGAACTTTTAGCCTGCAGATCACGGATCTCACCCGCCTACTGAGGTTGAGGCACGCCTCAATAGTTTGGTTCATCAAGAGACGCATGGAATTGCAAGTATTTGTTGAGTAACAATACATACGCTGTGTTCCTCAACACATTTCTGAGGATGATTCACTTCGAAGCGACTGACGGTTCCTGCTACCCAACTTTTGAACCAGACGAAGAGCCGGTGACGATGAGCGGGATATCGATTATTACAGTCAAGAACCATGAGGGATTCAAAGTAATGAAATAACTAGGTGGATCGAGAAACGTAACATTAGTCGGTAGAGTTCGGGTGTTAGAAGGAAACACTTAGAAGACGACATATAACAAGTCCGATTGAGAAGACCGAACACCACGTGTGGCTATCCATACTCACCAGTCCAATTACTTGTAGGTGGATGTAGAGAATTCAAGCTAAGTATTAAATAGCAGTACTGTTAGATATGAAATTGCAGTAAGGATCTAGTATTACGTTGATCTCACGTGAATATGGACGCAGGTACTTATACACTGTTTTAACACCAGTTACACTTCAGCGATATAATTTCTACTGTGGCATCGAACGTAACAAGTCTGAACAAATTATATGAAATCCAAGCCTCCACTAAGACTGACAGCAATACAGAGACACCTCAATTAATTTACTATATCTTACGAAGAAAATGGGAATTAATTGGGCATGTTTGTTCGCGCCTTAATGCATTCAAAACCATGAACAGCAACCACTCAACACCATAAATAAGCATATTTCCCTCTAGTAACTCGGGCGTATCAGCATGTTATCGACATCCACACCATACATGTTTCTTCGACATTATATTGATACAAAAACCTTTGCCCATATTCGAGCTTTAGGAATAACCTGTGAAAATTAGGAACAGTTACGAAATCCAGACAATGCAGAGACGTAAATGCAATTGCCCCACTTCAAAAAAAGGAAACAAAAACATTGAGAGGGAAGGAGGGATTATCAAGGGGTATCGAGAGTTCGAAAATACTTCACAGCAGAACTTACTTGCAAACCTGCTCGATGCGAACGCGAGATCGCTTTAGCTTTCGCCTTTCCGGAGTCTTTACCAGCTTTGCCTCCAGCCTAAATGAGATATAGTAAGAGTACCAGCCAACGCTTACCATTGACTACGGATTTGTATTTTGAAACCGAGTGAACAGTATTCCGCGACTGGGGTGTACGGATATAAACAAACTTCAGCCATACAATGTTTCAGTAGTAACTAATTAATATGTAGACAAGTACATTGCGCGTTTTACGAAACTTTATAAGCAGACTGTGAGGTTCTAAATATACAAAATTTATTAATAAAGTTCATGAAAGCAATAACAAATATGTTTTTATGACATCAAGAGCTCACTTTATTTCATGGCTATCATCAGCTGCTTGTAACCCAGAATTTACATAGGGTAATATGAGTAAATTTTCAGCAAAATCCAAAGTTGTCACAACTCGGAAGACATTTAGTATCTCTTGGCACAGCGGTGGAGCAATAGGTACGAATACAAGATATTTAGCAGTCAAAAGCCTCAGCATATTTATAAGTATTATGCTGAAAGTTTCTGGAGTTAGCGGAGGAGGATCAATTTAGAAGCTGTCGTAAAAAAAAGTTTCTTACACAAACAAATAAGTCATATAATACACTATATGATGACTTCGGCTCATTGAATAGGATCAGAATTAGTTAAGGATTAAAACTTAACGAAAAATTATTTACTTGGAGGTGTAGTCCAAAGTTAATCACATTTTTTGTGAGCTAAGATTAAGGCAGTGCTGCGAAATTAAAGTGCTCTTTAAAAAAGAAACAACCGAGTTTTTTCCGCACAACGATTACTTCTGAGGCTTTAGTGATATGAAATCTGTGTTACGGTGTCACTCATGTGCCTAATGAATGCAGGCGCAATCGATTTCTTGATTTCCACACGGGGGTTATAATGTGATATATCATATAAAATCTGGTTGATTCCCTTTCTTGAGATATATCGGGCTATTAGCAACATACGTAAAGCCTTTATAACAGATGGGCTCCTTCTATTCTGCTAATATATTCTTTCTTGCTTTTTGAAACTAATGAGGGTAATTGAGTTGATGAAATTGCTGGAGTTTTTTATTCTGTTTTCTAGAAGACTGCTTCTCATTACTTAAAAACTGGGTCAGCGTTAGCAAGCTTAATTCTTAAAACCGCGTAATGTAATGTGCTCTTAGTTAATGCATGATCATCGTTCCTTCTAACCTATTTACCCTGGAATCTTGCAGACTTGATTTGTCTCCCCGCATAGCGTAAGTTCATTTTTTACCTCGTCGCATGGATGTTAAACCAAGACATATCTTGTGAAATATCCTTTACCCATTACCAAATAAATATATTTTTCAAGCGTGGAATGTCCCAACTTCGACTGCTGCACTTCTATGCTCAGTTGTATGCTGACACTCGCTCATTTAGTCAGCAATTATCACCGCAACTGTTTAGTATAATACGACAATGGAATTTTAAGTGATCTGTACGCTTATAAATACTGTTCCCTATGGACTGTTAGGGCGTTTCACTAGTTCCTTGAACTTTCTAGAAAAAGTGGACCGAAGAGGAAACAGTGAACTGTAAGTTAGTAACGTGCAAACAAGAAATGGCAGGAATACGAATAAATGAAATGTTGACCTTTTTGTCCGTGTGATACGCTTATTTTAAATGCTAATCTTATGTCTCATAATTATTACATTTTCGTCTTTTTATTATAGGTAGACATCCCATAAGAGGTCAATTTCTGTAAGTAGCCTTTTGATATATGTACTTCCTGCAAAGCTTTTGATCTGCAGCCTTTAAATTATTTGCATTGGGTTGCATCGCGATTAGAAAGTCTGTATAACTGGTGCAACGGTACGCAAGACTCACGTGTGTCGTTGTAGAGTATGTCAATAATAAAACTGCATACACGACATTTACAGTGCTTACGTCAACAGCTGTTCCTTTCCTTTTCATTTTGGGGACAAACTACGACTTTGGCAGGTGTGTGCACACATATACTTAGGAGGTTTGTTCAACGTGTTACATTTTATTCTGGTTCCTTATACATAACCTGCCTGTGTTATAAACCTAGCGCATGCGTTTTCCTAGTTCACTAAGTAGTTGTGCTTGATCAAATAAAAAAGCCACTAACTCAATCTTTTTTTAGTCTGATGACAGTAAGTACACCTACGCTTGCTTCAATAAGCAACAAAACCCCACAAAGTGGTAGTGAGTCACATGGCTCACCAGTCGGCTGCAAGAGTTTAGCTGCCGTGTTACTACCACCTTATGTTGATAGAACTGAGAGTAATGTATGATGGAAACTAGTAGTAGCATCGCTCCTACAAATTTTGAGACAGATCCCTTCGCCATAACTCATGAAAGTGCCAGCAAACTTCAGATTCCAAGTCCGGTTCCAGCTCTCGCTTCAGAAATAGAACATGTTGTCAATATGGCTGAAGATCGAACGATCATTTCATGGCTGTTTGCTCAAATCTAACGCCTCCATATTTTTCGCAGGTCATTAATCCGGCAGTCATCGTCTCATCGTTCGCTGTTCAGAGGAAGAATAAAAACTATCAGAAGTATTACCGTGATTTATTGTTATACCATTTATTCTTAGACCTTGTGTGCAATAACCTTATTGTTGGTTACATATTGGCGTAAGAATAACGGATTCTTGATTTGCCAGTGTTCTGGTTTTTGCGTTGGTCAATGCGAAGCGTTTCTGAAAGTCTTTGAGGGACAGCGTGAGGTCCAGCGTAGTAAGAGCTAGATATTGACAGTTTTTCAGACTTGGCTGACATCCATTAACTTTGAGTGGTAATATAATCAAAAGGTGTATAAGACGACGAATAATTACCTAATTTTGGAGCTTTCTCAATTAATATAGCCTGTAGATATCAGCTAATCAAATGCCCCACGGTCGTATGCAAGCTGTCATCAAATGGCAAATCTTCTATTTGAGGTGGCGCCACCTGCTTCACCTTGTCGGTATTCGCGCGGCATGGTTGATTTGAATCAGAGTCTGTTTGCGTTGCTTCGTCTAGATAGATGTGTTGGAAGTCATTTCGGTGCTTATTTGGCTCTTGATTGGCTAGTTGACATAAGAATTTTTGATTAATGCTGTTCCCAAATATGGACGCATTGTTCATTGAGCAGAGAGCTTAAACCTGTGGTTCATGCATTGATACTTTGGCATACCTAGTACGCTTTCAGTATATTTCGACTACTGGTCTTTGAAAATGTTTTTAGCTTGCTTGCAACCTGTATTCGCCCATAAATTTTCCGATCAGCTGTTTTGCCTCAACTATTTCTGTTACAGGATCTAAGAATATGGCTGATATCGAATTCGTATTTCTACACTTTTGTGTGGCGTTTTGGTTGCTAAAAGTCGATGGAATCCACAGATACAAGTAAGGATTACTGCTCGTAAGTAAGCAGAAATTGCATTATGTTCTACGAATACTTGCAACCTCTACTGTTTTCTGCCAGAAATTGTAACTGAGTTAATTCACACTACCGAAGACAGTGTGCTTATAACTTCTAGATATCATAACGCATCTTGAGGAAAAAGCTGTGTCCATAGAGTTAGAACAGTCAGATGGGCGAAACTAATCCGAACACAACGACCACGATTCCCATTCACAGAAAATCCTACGTTGCTACCTAATCATCTAATCGTATCAGCAGATGTCTTGCCAAAAACAGAACACCATTGGTACAAGGAAAATTTATTTAGGCTTTTTAAAAATCATGGACATCTGTATTTATAGTCATGGAGAAACCGCAACTTTGAGAAAACCGCCGATCGTAGACCACAACCCGAGACGATATCCCTGTTAATTAAAGTCTTACCTTTAACACTCACCAGATCACCATATGTTATCCGCTCAGTAAATCCTTTTGCAACATATCGAACCGTTAAAAGTGAACTTGCTTTGGACATATATAATATCGAACGGCTGTTAACACTGGCTTTACTGCAGGCAGTCCTAGTTCATGTATTTGGATCTAGCACATTAAGCATTAATAAGCATAGGTAACGCTTACCCTTTGGGGGTTTCTGATTGCTCTCCAGTTTCTTTTTGTTCCAAAAAATACACACAAGCACAACAGATTCACACTTCTCATGTGGCTCAAACCTGTTTGATTCAGATCCAATTTTTAACTGATAACAAATGCACTGATGGCATATTTACCTTTTCGAAAAGCTTCAGAGCTTTTTTCAACTTCAACCCAGGCTCGAAACTCTCCAGGATTATGTTCTTTAAAAACCTTGCTAATATCAGCTCAAACAGTGCTCTCCTCACCAGATTCACTCGTAGATTGTTGCATGCTGTAAACATGAACGTGAAAGTGTTATGTACTAGTTTCCCCGTCGCCAAGTTGTTATGCACTCGTCGCTAAATTATTTTTATGAACTGGTCGAGAAACTAATAGTCCTGATGCAAGAAGGCGGAAATCAGAAAACCACTAGGTTTGCGATGATACTACTATTTCCAAACACAAGGAGAATGCAAAAGTGGTATCGCACCAAAGTGGTAAGTAAGTGTAAGTCACACAAATTGTGAGAACGAAATATATATATGACAAGGGTGTGAACAATCATTAGATAGTCTTAACATGAATGGCTAATTATAATGAAGTATCGATGCATATATACATAGCGAAATATAGCAGACATGTCAACAACCACCATATATGGATATATGTCACCAAGCGACGGACTGTCAACAAACACTCATATTGTATATAATATAAGGGGAATATACGTTGTTAAAGGAGACAAGTTCATACAAGTGAAATGGTCACAGACTAAGCGAGCAAACAGAAAGAGAGACCAACATACACACACATAAATATATATATGTGGATAGATATCACCTCCCCTTTTGAGAAGATTGATGATTAGTAGGATGTTTACCTGGGGGTTTATCTGGAACCTTTGAGCCTGTTGTTGACGTCTGTCGTTTCGTCTGCCTGTTGGGTTTTCGACTTCTGCTACGTCCGGAATTGTCTGACATTTTATGCTTCTTGACTGCATTGCATTGCGAATTAAGTGGGACATCAGCAAGATGCAAACGATCGAACCAATCAAGTCCCAAAAGATTTCAATCACTCTCGGTGACGTAGCAAATTCCTGTGAATTTAGTATTGCGGAAGGAAAACGGAACATTAAAGTTCACTAATAAGTTTGAGCTGCCCACCAC